CTGCCGGTGCACCGTGAAGCGTCGGTCTTTTTCCCCCCGGCAACTGATCAATATTACAATAATAAGCTAGTCTTGACGTAGATCTACGTAATGAATTGTGCGCTGGTCTATGGAATCAAAAGTTGCCGTATGCTCAGCTCTACACAGCAACACAACTTTTTCTTGGTAAACAATCGATATGACACAGGCTTGTGTATTTGAACGAATCGGTCTTTTTTTTTTTTTACACAGCTCATAATATGCCAGGTGGTCTGCTAAGCTTCAATTTTACCTTTTTCTACAACAAAGAAAATGGGAAACGTGGGGGGGGGGGGGGCGTATCAATGAGGCGGCGGGCTTTGGATCGGCAGATAAGGTGTGGGGGAAACTAAAAAATGGCGGAAAATTGGAAGCACTGAACATTAGATCTATAGAGAACGAAGACACAACAAAATGCGGGGGCTCTCATGGCCTGGGCCTCTAGAGTCTAGAGGTTAAGGTGTTAGCCTCTCATTGAGTCATTCAAAGGTCCCAGGTTCGAATCCGGGTAGCGACCGAAAAATTTTTTCTCTAAAATTGTCTCCTTTCGCCTCCTTTCCTGCTCTCTAGCAATGTTCTGTTGTCTGCTTTCATTTCCACTTTCTGCCCCCACCCCCTCACCTCCTTTGCCCCCTCCTCTGGGCTCCTGTCTTTCTGCAGCCTTTCTACTGCTACTCCTTGGCTCCTCCTTACTGCTGTCTTTCTGCCACACCCCTGATCTTCTGGTAGGAAAGATCTACACCTAGCCTTCTCGGACAAGGGCGAAAAATCTCGGAGGGCCCGTGTGCAAGTTGTGCACGTTAAAGATCCCTTGGTGGTCTAAAATCGATAAGAATAGGCTGCGGCCGCCACCCGGGCAAAATTCAAAATTTCCTACCAACTGAAAATATTAGGTGTGTCCCGCGCGCTCATATGACTTTATGCAGTTGCGAGCTCCGTAAAACAGTTTACAAAAAAACAAAAACAAAATGCATATGTAGAATCTTGTTCTAGAGTCTAGAACTAGAGAATCTAGATCTCTAGATCTAGATCTAGATATAGACTATAGATTCTAGATAGAATCTAGAGTGTTTTAAAGACGAAGGGCCAAGTCCCTGTGTCACCTATGTCAACTGTCATGTGAGACACATTATTTGTTAGGATAGATCTAGACTCTAGATCTAGTCGTCAGTCATTCAGCGTCGAGAGATATATTTAGCAGTTTAGCCCTCAAATCAATGCATCTGTGTGTGGGTGCGTTAAAATTTACCCTTCATTGTTTATTAGCCTAGACAGGGCCCCACATTATGCACAAATGTGCGTATATTACGCATTAAACCTGCAGATTACCCCCTTAAAGCTTCGGTTGTGTGTGAGCTTTACCCTAGTCGACTTACTTAGCTGCGCGCAGTTTCCAGCAACATTGGCTGGCTTCAGCACAGAAGCTCCACCACCCACATTCTGGTGGCTCACATTTGCTGATGTCGTGCCTTGAGTTTACTCCTACTGTGAGATTACCCCCATCCTTCTTTAACACACTAGAGTAGTCCTAAAGATGAATTGTCCGCCATCGAAAGTGTGGAAAGACTGAAATGTGAACCCTGGGATGGGTCTGAAGAATAATGAATCAGTTTATTTTCCGAACCTGCCACTCATCAGTGCCCTAAATCTCAAGCATCCCGATTTACCTTCCCGATTTACCCGATTTTGATCGCGTGTACGCCAATATTTTTTTGGGGGGGGGGGGGCTGTGGGGCTGTTGTGCCGGATTTTACTAAAATCTTACTCTGCCTTCTTTTCTGTCGTGGGAAGCACTCGTTAAACTTTTTGTCAGCAGAAACTGGGAGCACTATTTTCCTAAATGTTTATGTCGAATTTAGTGGTTGACTCACCAAAAGTTGTGTTGGATTTTTGCTCACACATATTATTTCAACTATTATGGAAGTAGTATTGATTTGGCATTCCGACTTAAGACATTCTCAAGATCTACTTTTGTCAAAACATGCTTTGTCAAGTCCGAGTTCTGGATTGTCAGGCCTGTCATCAAGACCCTTCAGTAAAACTGTTCCAATTGTGCGTTTGCACCATGTGACAGGACTTCGACGTGTGAGTTCCGCTCGTATCGGGGACTGTCCGTTGACGGGGTCAATTTAAGTTCATGCGCACCGGTTGAAGTGTCTTATGGGACTTATCCGGGGGGGAGGGCGTGTAAAACACATGGACTAGGAGAGCTTGACGTGATTCGGTTTTTGATCAAGTAAGACCTAGATCTAGAGATCATGTTGAACAAATCATCATCAGGGGAAATACAAAAACGAATAAACAAAACTCATAGATCAGGCCTGCTTTACTATTTCCCTTGAATTTATTACTGGACCCCTTGTAACGAGAATCCTGATATAACGGACATTTCACACCGGTCCCCTCCCTCTCGTTATAACAGGATTCCACTGTATAAAAAAGAAGGAGGGGAGATAAGGACAATAGATGTTTGATTGGAAAGAAGGAGCAAACCACTCCAGAGCACCCGCCAACCACCCATGTTCTACATTTAGCCGCATGTCTCAATCTCAATAGTAGTATAGGTTAGGTCAGGAGGGGATGATGGGTTGTGGTGGGCCCAGTAAGGGTAGGGTAATATTAATAGTAATAGTTAATAATACAGTTACTGTCTTACAATACTTAACCATTGGGGCCGAAAACTGACTAAGTCAAGTCAAGTGAATGATAATAAAATTTGATAATAAAGAGATCTAGATCTAGGCAGGGCTCCCCTTTTCAGACCAACTTAAGAGGTTCCTTCACCCTTTGGTTTACTATTTTAAGGGGTATTTACACCCTTGTTTTAGAAACTTAAAGGGTAAAAGTCAATATCTCATAATTTTATAGTAGATTTTTTGCTTGTAAACATTTAACTCACATGCACATTCACACAGACACACACAGAGTGACCATGACTATGATTGAATGCTAACGATTTCTAATTAAGAAATAAATGAGTAACATTCACTAGAATTAGAGTTGTGTCCATTTGGGGGGGGGGGGGGGGGGTTGAGCAGTTGAGCCTATCAAATATAAAATAAAGTTGACAAACCAAAAGGGGTCAATTCCGACAGTACTACACCAAGAAAAATAGACCTGCCATTCTATGAAATCTAAAAGTCAGGATTTCAGAGGGGAAAAAAATTGGGACTTGGTGAAAAAAAATCGAGATCAACGACAAATCACCTTAGTCACTGCCAAGCTGACTTTAAAAATTTCCAGTGGTGTCCATTATTATATCCATGTACTTCCCTCTGCGCGCACGCGCATGTGTGGTGTATGTGTATGTGTCTGCCCGTGCCTGTGAGTGTTTTATTATTATTTCCTTTTTAATCCTTTTGTTCCACAATTACTTTTACGTAATAACACAAACACCATGGAACACCTTAGTAGGATAACTGTTACTCAATCAGTGTTCCAGTAGTA